ACAACAATTGTACCTCTCCGCATATTGATGTGTTCAGTTTAACTTTACACAGTCAACTGATCAAATATCAATTTGTTCACCTATTTTATGGTCAAAAAACTGTCTTTCATCCGTTCTGACATCTTCACCTCGGCGACAATGCGGACAGCTGCAGCTGATTCCATGCCTAAAATCGCCTTTGGACACTCGATAATCGCAGATCATACAGCGATACCTTCTACAATTCGGGTAAAAGTCTGTCCATGCACATACAGGGCATGTACTCAAATGGAAGATGTATGTGTGTATATATATATGTGTGTGTATATATATATATATATATAGTGTATATATATATATATATATATATATATATATATATATATATATATATATATATATATATATATATATATATATATATATATTGTCTGCATCAGATTGTGTATCCTGACGCGACCACTTGTGGGCTAACACAGTGAGGACACGTCCATTTACGATTAGGCTTTTATCAATTTCCAATTGTGCAAGACCTTTTATAAATATGCTCAAACCAGTTGGTTCGGGAATATCTGGATGATAAGGCGTCACACAATATTTCAGAAGATTTACAATGTTAGTTCCTCGTATATTATGTCCTCTGTAAACGATTTCTCCTCTTCCATTCCAAGTCAAAATCCCCGTAGACGTTAAAATAGAATGAAGGATTTCTTCGGCTTCGTGTTGATCATAAACGTCAAGATATTTAAGAATTTCTTCAAGTCTCCATTGTTCGGGAGATGATAGTTTGTCGCTATCCATGATTGGAATGAGGAATTGACCTTAATGCTAATTATTTTGTACTAATTCTGCAAGCCCTTCTAAAAGTGGTCCAAGTACCAATCTAGAAAGCCACTACCTCGCTGAACAAGAATTTCCTTTTTCGTTCTAAAACTTCCACTTCTGTCCGCTAGATCAGCTAAATCTTGTTTGAAAGGTCTGAGTTTGTCCTTCAATTCTTTTGAGTATGTGAAATTTTCTATAGAATAACACAAGCATCGAATTTGCTCAGCTGATGCAGAATTAAGAAGAGCTTGCTGTTGAGTTGGATGAGAAGTACATAAGAGCTCTACAAAAGGCCTGTACACATCAAAGTACGTCATCTCCATTCGAGAGTTGGAGACTAAGTGGTTCATTTACTCGAGAAACATGACTTTAAAAACGTTCTTGCGAATATAGATTCAATTATTGAATTCTAAGATTGAATCATTGAATCCTAGATTAAATCATTGAATCCTAAGATTGAATCATAGAATCCTAAGATTGAATAATTGAATCCTAGATTGAATAATTGAATCCTAGGATTGAATAATTGAATCCTAAGATTGAATCATTGAATCCTAAGATTGAATCATTGAATCCTAATGTATATATATATGCATGTTTACTCGTGATGCGCTGACACTTACATTTCGTATCATTGAACGTCAACCCATTGAGTGTGGCCCAAGAGTTGAGGTTGTCGATGTCACTTTGAAGATCAACGCTATGTTGTTGACTTTCAACTCTCTTCAGGGCTTTCGTGTCAACAGCGAAGCAAGCCACTTTTGATGACAACACAGCCTTGGGCAGATCGTTCACATATAAGAGAAAAAGTACTGGCCATAGGATCGAGCCCTGGGGAACTCCCGACGTTACCACACGTTCTTGAGATGTTGCACCAAGTACTGTCACTCGTTGTTTTCGGTCACTCAGATAAGAGGTGAACCAGCTCAGCAAACTCCCGGAGATGTTAAATTGCCGCAATCTGGAAATGATGAGCGAATGTTGAAGTTTGCAGGCCAGAATCCAGCAACGAGCCAATGCAGTTGAGAACTTGGACCAGCTGGGTGACGCAGGATCTGCCGGGAATAAAACCATGTTGCGCTCGGTGTAACATTTGCAAGAGGTGATCCCGTAGTCTGACCAGAACACACCGTTCAAGGACCTTTGATATATATGATGGTTAGCAGGGATATTGCATGGACGATAGTTCTCTACATATTGCTTGATTTCTTTCTTGAACACCGGGACAATGTTTGCCAGCTTCCACTCATCTGGAAACACGCCTGCGTTAAGCGACTGATTGTATAGTAACGTTTCAGCCGTTTCTTTCAAAAGTCTCGCAGAGATCTCGTCAGGTCCAGTTGTTTTAGTAACATCAAGTGAACGAAGGCCAGCGGCGACTACTGCGCAAGGAGAGAGAGAGAAATTTCGGAAAATTCCGGCCCGCTGGTAGGTGGTAATTGTGGGCGAGGTTCGACTGCATCACTGGAGAATATGAATGTAAAGTGATTGTTGAAGGCTTCGACAATCTCAACCGGGCTGGAAACTAATTTCCGAACAGGTTTACCAGTGTCCGTATCATGAATAGTTGATGGTATTGACACTTGCTGAGGAACACTGCTCGCTTTATTGGAGAGTTCGAAGGCAGACCAGAATCTTTTCCGAGTTGACTGAATATCTTGTTCCAGCGACTCAAAGTATTAAACCAAAACGTTCACAAGTACTAGTTAAAACATGAGCAGCCGATATTTATCTGATATACAAACTCGAGCCGAAGGTGAGAGTTTGTATATCATATAAAGATCGGCTGCGAATGACCCATCTTGTGAGTTCATTGGCGAAGTAATTTGAAAAATAAACATTGCATGTCTAAGCCAAGAAAATCAATGCTGAAGTTTATGTAAATCAGGACAAATCTTTATCCGATTTACAAACATTGATTAAACATTCATTTCTTTTGTATTTTCCTCATGAATTATTAATGAGTTTTTAATTGTATATAATTAGAATTGTATATATTTGTCATTTCTAATTTAACCATACTGAGTTATTGATATTTTCCTGACATATTTATGTAAAAACCATTACCAGCCGACAATTTAAAAAAATATAGTACAAAACATAATCCGAAGATTAGCATCTTGAAACCCAAAATATGAGTCAAACAAGAAAGTGATAATATTTCGATTTTATTACAAAATCATCATCAGACTAACTATAGTTACAATATATACATGGTCTTATATACAAGTTGGCAAGGCATGATGACATCATCAAACGGAAGACTAAGTCTCAATCAGAACCACGACAGGTGCAGTGAGGATTTAATTAGATCCGAAACAATAAGTTTTTCAAATTCCGAAAGAATGATGTTAGCTAGCACAGGCCCCAGTGCAGACCCCATAAAAAGGCCATCAGTATAATCAAAAAGCTGATTATTAAATGAGAACGCGGTTTTAGTACACGAATCAAGAATTAGTTTTTCAAAGTCCGTTTCAAACGAGTTGCATAGCAACCAATTTTTCTTCAAAAACGTGGTTAAGAACGATTTTGACAGTTTTGGTTAGCGAAACGTTTGTGAATAGTGAAACTACGTCAAACGAAACAAAGCGATAACCTTCTGAGAAAAGCTCTTTAGGTATAGATTTTATTTCCAAAACCGCATGAAATCAATCGTAAAGAGTGTACTTGTTTTGGGCTAATGGATTCAATAACTTAGCGTCTGTTATCGAGAAATTTACCAACGTTATAGTGTGGTGTTCCAGTTGTGTCAATAATAGGTCTGAACGGTGGCAAGTCGTTGTAATGTTTGTGGACTTTGGGAAGCCCATGTGCTCTACAGAAGTGTGCTGCTTTAGGTCTAAGGAAGTCATAGTCAGATTGAGAAATTTCACCACGTTGTAAAAGAGCACATAAGAAGGACTGTAGAGAGTTTAGTCGAGTAAGCGTTGGGTCAGTATCAAGTAACTTAAAACGTGAAGCGTCAGAGAAGAGAGATGTGACAGAGGAAAGATAATCACTGCGTTTCATGACAACAATGCCATTACCATTGATGTTACTTCCGTTTGATGATGTCATCATGCCTTGCCAACTTGTATGTAGGACCATGTATATATTGTAACTATAGTTAGTCTGATGATGATTTGGTAAAATCGAAATATTACTAACTACTCACTTGTTTGACCCATATTTTGGGTTTCAAGATGCTAATCTTTGGATTATGTTTTGTACTATATATTTATGTAAATATGATATGTTATAATATCTACTATATATGAAAATGTCACACAGTAATCAGTGTGACAAGCTGTTTGAAAATTGAAAATTGAAAAATGTATATATGTGTAACGTCATCTGAATTGGGCAATGTAAGTTGGGCAGCGTAAATATTGGGTATTCTATTATATGAATTTAAGGGCTTAGGGAAGGTTAAAATTTCGTTCTACATTTATATACAGTGGAATGGTAATGTTAAGCACTCACATGAATGGACCTTGGCTACGTGTTAGCCTTTTAGTAAGTAAAATGAAAATGGCAGCAAGTGAATATCATGTAATAGCCCCGCCTAATATTTTAATTCAATGGCAGTGTAATATTTTAATTCAATGGCAGTGTTAGGGCAGAGAAAAACAGAAGTACCAAAACTAAGGCGCTATACAATATTTCCAAACGTTTCACGCGAAAGACGGCGAATAGCCTCCTATCATACATACGTATTGAATGCCGATTTAAAAATTCCATTGCCAAAAATTCGAACGGGTGAAAACATATTCATTTTACAGATCTAAGGTTGGGATATTTTAATTTATGGTATTATAGTTAGTTGCGGTGGTTATCATAAAATGCTCCACCGTCGTCTATCCGTCCGCCTTTTTTCTACACCCGTAGTACAATACTCTACCTGTTCTGGAATCTGACGAGGAATTTCGTTTGTACACACTGGTAATTCAATCACCTGGAAAAAATAACCAGTGAATAGTTTTACATGTAGGAAAATTTTTAACATTTAAAAATTATTCGCCGAAGGCAAGGTGATTATCGGGGAATTCACCGAGACGAAGTCGAGGTGAATATTCTCCGATAATCACCGAGCCTGAGGCGAATAATTGTTTTAGTATTTTACACTTTGTGGGTTTTTTTTGCAGTTTGGGTAATTGCCTAGGGTCATGGGTCGAGGGTCAAAAGCCGAGGTCGAGGGTCGAAAGTCAAGGGTTGAAAATGGAAAAATACTATTTTTTACTGGAAAATACATGCATGCCGAAACCCCCGCCTTGCTGACAAAACCATTGTATTTTCCGAACACGAAGTATTTAAAGTAGTTGTCATGGCAACACGATAATTTCATTAAGAATATTACGAGGAATAGATAGCTTAAGCTTCACGTTTCTGGGAACGGCAAACGGCAGGTTCGAACTTTCTTGGCAAAATTTTCGTTCAACGTTTTCATTTCATATTTCTTTCTTGTGTCAAAAGAATAATCATACATTGCAGTTTTAAAACAGCAAGTTAAGTTTACTCTTTATTGCCTGATACGGTAAATTTATTCATTGCCCGGCGTTTCCGTTTGACGTATAACGCGAAGATTAAGCTCTCTATTATTTATAGTTTACAATTGAAAAATCCCCTAAAAATATCAATTTTAATTACAAAATGATCAATTTCCCAAACATATATATATTAAGTATGTTATTATACGTAATATAAGCTTCAATTTAATGTAAAATGTTGTTTATAAAACTAAACTGCCTTTTTCTGATAAACTTTGAGTTTGAACACAGGCGGCCCAGACGTGTAAATAATTTTATATAATTACAGAATATACTACACAGTAAAATTTGTAATGAATTTTATATTTTAAAATTATATTTACTTGCCTAATTTGATTGTATGTGATCGTCTTTTATTTCTGGGCGACTGTCATCATAGGTGATAGAAGGCTAACGATTCCCATTCCGAAAACGGCGACACGAACACTTCAACTTGAAAAATATACCCTTTAAATTGCTTTGTTCTCGGCAAAAATAAACACCCATCTTCGAACATACAAGGCAATATTAACACGCCCTATAATTTTTGGAATGGATTTTTAACAAAATGTTTCGAAACCCAAACTCTATGGAACTTTGAAAGACCGTTATGTGTTTGAAAGACCGTTATGTGTGAAAGACTGTTACGTGTTAGCCTCATGAAATAAAGTTGTTTACTTTTTGTTGTTTAAAGGAGGCTAGGTCGCCAAGCAGGCGCGGTAGTATAATCATCTTTCAAAGTTCCACGCTGGCGAATTTTTACCGAGAACAAAGAAATTTAAGGGGATATTTTTCGAGTTGAAGTGTTCGTGTCGCCGGTTTCGAAACGGGTATCGTTAGCCTTTGGCTTTGCTTTAATTTCTATCATCAATGATGACAGTCACCCAGAAATAAAAGACGATCACATATAATCAAATTAGGCAAGTAAATATAATTTTAAAATATAAAATCAATTACAAATGTTACTGTATAGTATTCTATAATTATCCCCGAGCCAACGGCGCGAAGCGCCGTGCGAGGCTAGGGTACTAATTCCGCCCGGCTATTTACCCCCGGGGAAAGGAAAGCATTAGTGAAGTATAAAGTTCATCAATGATCGCGGGCGTGGGTTACTGTACGTGGGTGGTCATCATAGATATCTTATATACACTAGATAGTGCATCTAATTATTCTGCAATTCAAAAATTGAAGCCGTGATTGCAGACTCAGGATATTCCCATGAAATGAGAAGACTCGTATGTTTTCTATTTCTTAAACAGGGAACTTATAAACATTAAGTTAAACCTATTCCAAATACATTTTCAAACTATTCAAATGATGAAAGTTATTGTTGTTTTTTAAGCGTTTATTAGGGAGTGGGAAACTCCAACATGGTCGCCATCTATTCAAATGGGGGTAACCGCTGGAATATTCTTGGCTTCAATTTTACTAAAAGAGATACGCTATCTAGTGTATATAAGATATCTATATACGGTGGTCATCCTGGAATGTGGATTTTATAATTTTTGGATTTTTTTGTGGAATTTGGATCTTATAATGATTACTCTATATACGCACGTTAGTCAATACGCCACGAGTATGCTGACGACGGTGCGCAAGTTTAAACGACGGGACAAAATTGCGTGCGTATCCATAGGCAGCGCAAAAATGCGTGTTAAATTTTTACCCTCGCGCGTGGCGCTCGGGCATGCATCGAGTCTACTTTGTTTATTATTATGACAAGAATTTTTCTGTGTTGGTGTTGTGTTCTCAGGTGAATAATATGTTTGCGATGTTACTCTGAGTGCATATCCACACCGGGCGAGCTTGAAAAATATGCCCGGCCACGGTGGGATTCGAACCTACGACCTTTTGACCTTAAATGAACCTACGACCTTAAATGGGCTGGTTCGTTGGAAGATCTGAAAGCCGTCGTGCTCACTGTAGTGGACGAACAAACAGCTGAAACTACAACCTGGCGATCGCCTAGCGATGGTACGTGGAAATTCGACAGCAAGGCACTGTGTGTTACCTGGCAAACAAAGAGTCAGAATGTTTATTTTGAGGGCGAAAACGGCGAGGAAGTGACCAAACAGATAATTTCGCACTTAAACCAAGGCGTGCACGCTTCGTTGAAAGCTTCGTTAAAAGCTTCGAACTTGGCGGGAGTTGAAGTGTTAGATTTGCAGGACTCTCGCGCTATCAGCTTATCCGACAACGACACAACAAATGGAAGTTTTCAGGCCTGTGGGGAGAGCGTTTCATGCGATGAAGAGAGTGTGATTCAAAATGTCATCAAACGTTTGGATTCATTAACGCGCCAATTCGAAAACCACCGAACTGAGACGTCTGTTGTTCTAAACGAACTTGTTAATATATATGAGAATCAAAAAAGTCCGACGGCAACTGAAAATCTTACTAAAGAAAATAGATTATTGAAAGAAGAAAACAAGGCTCTTCAAACAGAGCTAACAAAATATAAAGATACTTTAACCGAACTAAATACAAAGCTGACGGATACTGAAAGTGAGAAATCAAGCCTCTTAACTGTTATTAGGTTGCTGAATGAAGAGCAAGCCACTGTAATGTGTTCAAATAAGGATGAATCTAGTCAAGCGCAACAAACACGGAGCTCGTGGCAAATAGCTGGCCGCAAAACCATAAGTCAAAGTGCTGGTCACCATATAAATTTGAGCAATAAGTACTCTACCTTGCAAATTGAAGACGACGATGAGGCAGTAATGAGCGGTGACGCTGGAAATAATCAAACCTTAGTTCCCAAGAAGACTCCAACTATAGACCACGAAAAGAAAAGACGATTGAAAAACACCCCAAGAAATATCCAAGACACAAAGCAAAATTCCTTACCAATCAGCAACCAACGTGATACTATCCAACCGAAGAAACAACAATGTGAGGTAGCTTTGGTGGGTGACTCCATGATTAAGCATGTTGATGTCCGAAAACTTCGTCATGGCACAAACAAACAGGTAACTGTTCGTACTTTTACTGGGTGTAGAACCGACGAAATGGCTCACTATATAAAGCCGACACTTGCTTTAAAACCGAAGCAAGTTATTATTCATGTTGGGACGAATGATCTCAAAACGAAATCACCGGCTGAAATTATTTACAACTTAAAAAACCTGGGCAATCAGGCAAAACAAGAAAACCCCCGCACTGGTGTCTCACTCTCACAGATAATAATTAGAAGTGATGACACAAGATTACAAAATAAATTAGTTGAAGTCAACAAATGCATACAAGATCTTTGCGAACAAGAGAACTGGGGTCTTATTGACAACAGTAATATCAGTAATATGCATTTGAATCCGTATGGACTACACTTAAACAAACGTGGCTCTGCTATATTAGCAAACAATATCAAATTGCATATAACTAACAATATAGATAACTATTGACTGGACTTGACGAATTGCAAACCACCGCCTATCAACAGTTCCAATTTACCAAAGCAAAATAATAATATTTATCCGAAACTAAAGGGATTAAAATTTGCCCATGTGAATATAACTAGCCTTCCAAAACATTTAGACGAATTAAAATTATTTCTCCAACAACTACCATTTGAAATATTAAGTTTAAATGAAACGAGATTAGATGAGACAATTCAAAATAACATGGTTCAGATTCCAGGTTATGAGATTATTAGACGAGATAGGAATAGAAGAGGCGGAGGGGTTGCTTTTCTTGTCAAGAATAACTATTCGTACACTCTACGAGACGATCTAATTCCAAAAGATCTTGAAGCAATCTGTATTGAATTAACGCTACGTATGAGTCGGCCAATTTTGATTTTGACTTGGTATCGACCTCCTGATTCGAATGCAAAAGTATTCGATTTGTTTGAAGAATTTCTGCAAAAGGCTGAGGCAGAACATAAGGAATTGATTATTCTAGGCGATTTGAATTGCGATTTGTATACAAATACGGCAAGTTCAAGTACAAAAAAATAATTAATTGAATTATTGGATGTTTATCAGTTAAAACAACTCATTAAGAAACCTACACGTGTAACAGCTAAAACAAGAACATTGATAGATGTTATTATAACTCAATTGGGAAATACGAATGTTACTGCTTCTGGAGTCATACACCTTGGAATTAGCGACCATAGTCTGGTGTATACTTGTCGCAAAATGAGTACCCAAAGGGAAAAACCAAAAATTGTTGAAACCAGGCAATTTAAACATTTTAACAGTCGAGCATTTGAAAATGATTTAAATCAAGCTTTTGCTGCTAATGATGTTTATCATCTTGATGAACCAAATGAGATTGGAATGTATGGAAAACTATATTTCTATCTTTAGCTAACAAGCATGCACCTCTAAGACAAAGGAAAGTTTGAAGCACTTATAACCCTTGGATAACAACGGAGATTAAGTACCTTAGTCACCGCAGAGATTTCCTAAAAAAGAAAGCGGTCACGCATAACTCAATCTATTATTTTAATGAGTATAAACAATGTAGGAACAATTTGAATAAAACAATCAAGGAAACCAAAAGCAATTATTATAAAAGAAAACTAAATGCATGCAAGGACCACAAAGAGAATTGGAAATTGATAAATGAATTGCTAAACAATGCATCAAAAACTACTATAATTAATGAATTGGTTGTTGACGAAGGAAAAATAGTAGGAGATGAGAATATTGCAGAAGAATTTAACAGCTTCTTCTCGCGCATAGGTACACGTTTAGCTGAAAATATAGACGCAAGTGATGTCGATCCACTGTCTTTCGTAACATCTACACCACACAACTTCGATTTTCAAACTATATCCAATGATAAAGTTAGGGAGGAAATTAAGCAAATGAAAACTGCTAAATCATCGGGCTATGACAAAATTTCTGCGAAACTGTTGCAGGCCGCTGGGGGTGCAATCGTTGTGCCACTAACGTATATATTTAACCAATCTCTTAAGACTGGAATTTTTCCAGATGACTGGAAAATTGCTAAAGTGACACCTATCCACAAATCAGAAGAAAAAACCCTATGCGGTAATTATAGGCCGATTTCTGTCATTTCTATAGTTCCCAAAGTATTTGAGAAAGCTGTACATGAACAATTAATGAAATATTTGGAACACCACCAAATAATTTCCAAATTTCAGTCTGGATTTCGTGTAAATCATTCAACTGAAACATCATTACTACATGTAACTAATAGCTGGTTAGCAAACATGGACGCTGGTTTGATTAATGGTGTCCTATTTTTGGACCTTAAAAAGGCCTTTGACACGGCAAACCATAAGATTCTATTATCCAAATTGGGATGTTATGGAATTCGTGGATTAGCACTGTCATGGTTTCAATCATATCTTAGTAACAGGAAACAAATTTGCAAAGTAAATAACTCGCTATCAACCTTCCAAAATATTACATGCGGAATCCCACAAGGATCTAACCTTGGGCCACTTCTGTTTACAATTTATATAAATGATCTGCCAAATAGTTTAGAAATAACTGAACCCGCCATGTTTGCTGATGATACAAGCTTAACTGCAACTGGTGAGTCTTCTTTTGAAATTGAATACAAATTGGGGGTGGAAATCCAAAACGTTAAGACTTGGTTAGATGCAAACAAATTAACATTAAATGAAGAAAAAACCGAGTATATGCTAATCGGCTCAGGAAAGCGCTTAAAACAGATCAGAAATGACCCTATTAGTAAAATTAGAGATCATATAATCAAACGGGTTTACAAGAAAAAGGTCTTAGGCTTAGAAATAGACGATAAATTACAATGGACAAAACATGTTGAAAAACAAACTAAAAAGATTTCTTGTTCTATAGCTATGTTACGAAAAGTGAAGCCTTACGTACCTCAAGCAACACT